CCCACCATGACTGTTCCACACAGACAGACTCACACACACAGACTCACACGGAGAGACTCACATACAGAGACTCACACAGCCACGCACTCACCCACAGCTCGGTTCACTCCTGCAGGAGACCGACTCAGTGTAGTCCCAGGCTTGCGAGCTGGTTTCAGTCTCCAACGGCTCTTCTGCTCCAACGACTGCCTCGAGCTCTCTAGCACACCGCCTTATATAGCCAACTGCCCCCGAGGGGCGGGGCTGTATGCGGACGTTGATGTAGACACCCCACGCACGGACCGTGATGTAGACACCGCAACGTAATGGCTTGCTCCACCCCAGTATGTAACACCTCTACATCTCGATTTAAGCTTTCGTGACTGCAGGGATTCATCTTCTTGGTTCTTTCGGTAAAGTCACGTAGAAGGGTATTAATAAAATAATAAAAATAAAGCATAATAAATAATTCTCACCTTCCATGTCCCCTCCCCCCTCGCTACCAGCCCCTCGCACCCATCCAGAACTCCCCGTGGCCACTGGTGGCTGCGGGCGACGTGAGGTGGTTCACAGCTGGTCAGGGTTGGCGCCCCCCCCCCCAAAATGACATCTCTCACAACCACCGCTGCATTATCAACCGTCACCATTCGCCAATAAGTAACAGTGACGTCACCACAGCGACTGTGCCAGGCCAGGTGCACTTTGAAGCCACGTGAAGTGTCGAAGGCTCGCTGACCGGAGGTCCTGGAACAGACCCAGGTGCCATGGGTTGCTGACTGAGATGACTGGCAGCACCACCTGTACCCCGTACTGTGCCAAATTGCTGCATATTTATCATCCGGTGTTCTGCTCGTTGTTGTGAGCGTCACTCCTCCGTTGTTGTTGGAGGGCGAGTGTCGCCAACTGCCAAGTAGAAGCATCCTTCACGAGCCTCCCTGCAGAGGCCGATCTCGACACCACTGGTACCAGTCGTCGGCAAAGCCCACTCAGCTCCACATCCTCCCGTACCGCATCAGTCCACCTCCACTCCAGCCCATGCCGTGCCCGCCCAGCTCCCTCCATCCACCCACATACTCACCGGCTTACTCACGCACTCACCCACTCATATCTGCTCACGCACCCACGCATGAAATTTTAAATGCAGGCTGCGCAAAGCATCGTGATCAATTTACACCAAAATCTACTCTCAACCACTTAAACCACATATTCGTAAATGATGCGCACCCTAATCAGCCACTATGGCTGCGTGCAGGGTGTTGTGATGTCACGTAGTACGACGTTTTTCTTGCCCCCCCCTCCCCACCCCGTTTTAACGCGTTGTCTATCTATGGCCTCGTCACATTGGCCTTAATGGACGCGTGGTGATGGTGAAAGATGATTCGGCGGTGGACACTGAATTACCGGAGCCCCATTTAACATTCAGGTGACACGGGGCACGGTACGTGAAGAACCTCTTATGTCCTGTAAGCAGACTTCTCTGCGTGGGATAGTTAACACCTCTGAATGCACAGACAACCGCCAACGCAGCCTCGCCTGCCGGAGGAGCTCGCTGATGATCGGACAGTGTTCAGATCTCTCAAGGATCTGTGAGCTACTCGCACACAAAGATCCCCGTGTAGCCTTTAACAGACTGTTGGGGCAAGTGCTTTATAACATCATCAAAGGGGCGCTGCAATACTATGCAATCAAAATCACCGATCAGAGATTTTCCCATATATGGTCTTTGTTGATTGTGAATCGATACTAATTGTATTGATTCCACTCAGTCGATACAGCAGCAAGCTCAAAATGTCCGATTTTATCTGAAATTTTCTGCGTTTCACAGATCATACAAAGCAACGGTGTTGATGCCTGGTTTGTATGTACTTTTATTTTGTAGTCTATCAGACTTTTGTATTAAATCGCTCTGCAAAAAGTCATTTTGTATGCTAATAAATCAATGTTATGCAAATGCTAAATTTTATCATAGCCGCGACTCGGTTTACTCCGATGTGCAATGTCATCTTTATTTCGATCCTGTGAGTGTACAATTTTATATTAAACTTCATTTACTGAGTGAATACAAGACCACTTATATGCTGATATGGGTCTTTTAGTGTGTATGTGGCTGAATGGGTATGTGGCTGAATGGGTAGGTGAGTGGGTGGCTGCGAGTCAGAGAGTGGAGCCCCATGGTGGCGAGATGTTAACTACCTTACCTTTTGTACAGGAGGTTGTGGGTTCGGTCTCGATCTTGATGCCTGTATATTTGGAGTTTGCATGTTCTCCTCGTGGTTCATGGATTTTTCTCCGAGACCTCTGGGTTTTTTGTGGCCACGTTGCTTCTGAATAAGATCTGTACAGCTCTGTGGGCCTTACCTTGTAAAAAAAAATTGTTTACAGTTGGGTGAGTGGGTATTTGAGTGCGTAGGTGGGTGAGTGAGTTGGTGGGTGGTTAGGTTAGTAGGTGAGGGGCTGGGTGAGTGAGTTGTTGGGTTAGATATGGAGTAGGTCACAGTGTGAGTGGGTGGGTTGGTTCGTGAGTTGGTCAGGGAGTGGGTGGGTGAGTTAATGGGTGGGTTGTTGGGTGAGTGAGTTAGTGAGTGCATGTGCAGGTAGGTGCGTGGATGAGTGGCTTAGTGAGTGGGTTATAAATTGAGTGCGTGGCAGGGTGAGTGGGTTTGTGAGTCGGTTAGTGGGTGGCTTTAGTAGTTGAGTGGGTGAGTCAAAGAATTTAGCGCCACGGTGGCAAGATGTTAACTACCTCACCTACTATACAGAAATGTTGTGGGTTCGATCCCGACCCTGACGCTTGTATATTTCACTCCACATTTAGAGTGTGAGTCTGTTAGTGTGTGAGTCTGTGAGTGTGTGAGTCACTGCGTGCGAGTCTGTGAGTGTGCGAGTCTCTGCGTGTGAGTCTGTGAGTGTGTGAGTCTGTGATTGTGCGAGTGTGTGAGTGTTTGAGTGTGTGAGTCTGTGAGTGTGCGAGTCTCTGCATGTGAGTCAGTGAGTGTGCGAGTCTCTGCATGTGAGTTTCTGCATGCGAGTCTCTGCGTGTGAGTCTGTGAGTGTGAGTCTGTGAGTGTGCGAGTCTCTGCGTGTGAGTCTGTGAGTGCGTGAGTCTGTGAGTGTGTGAGTCTCTGCGTGTGCGAGTCTGTGAGTGTGAGTCTGTGAGTGTACGAGTCTCTGCGTGTGAGTCTCTGCGTGTGAGTTTCTGCGTGCGAGTCTCTGCGTGCGAGTCTGTGAGTGTGAGTCTGTGTGTGAATCTCTGCGTGCGAGTCTGTGAGTGTGCGAGTCTCTGCGTGTGAGTCTGTGAGTGTGCGAGTCTCTGCGTGAGTCTGTGAGTGTGCGAGTCTCTGCGTGTGAGTCTGAGTGTGCGAGTCTCTGCGTGTGAGTCTGGTGAGTCTGTGAGTGTGCGAGTGTGTGAGTCTGTGAGTGTGAGTGTGCGAGTCACTGCGTGCGAGTCTGTGAGTGTGCGAGTCTCTGAGTGTGTGAGTCTGTGAGTGTGCCAGTCACTGCGTGCGAGTCTGTGAGTGTGCGAGTCTGTGAGTGTGTGAGTCTCTGCATGAGCCTTCGTGTGGTGAGTTTGCAGCTCAATCACCTGCTCACTCACACGCACATGAGACTGTGAATGTGGGAGTCTGTGTGTGGCGAGTCTGCGTGTGAGTCTGTGAGTGTGCGAGTCTCTGCGTGTGAGTCTGTGAGTGCGTGAGTCTGTGAGTGAGCGAGTCTCTGCGTGTGCGAGTCTGTGAGTGTGTGAGTCTGTGAGTGTGCGAGTCACTGCGTGCGAGTCTGTGAGTGTGCGAGTCTCTGAGTGTGTGAGTCTGTGAGTGTGCCAGTCACTGCGTGCGAGTCTGTGAGTGTGCGAGTCTGAGTGTGTGAGTCTGAGTGTGTGAGTCTGTGAGTGTGCCAGTCACTGCGTGCGAGTCTTTGAGTGTGCGAGTCTCTGCGTGCGAGTCTGTGATTGTGCGAATCTCTGCATGTGAGTCTGAGTGTGCGAGTCTCTGCGTGTGAGTCTGTGAGTGTGCGAGTCTCTGCGTGTGAGTTTCTGCGTGCGAGTCTCTGCGTGTGAGTCTGTGAGTGTGCGAGTCTCTGCGTGCAAGTCTGTGAGTGTGTGAGTCTGTGAGTGTGCGAGTCTGCGAGTGTGCGAGTGTGTGAGTGTGTGAGTCTGTGAGTGTGCGAGTGTCTGCGTGTGAGTCTGTGAGTGCGTGAGTCTGTGAGTGTGCGAGTCTCTGCGTGTGCGAGTCTGTGAGTGTGTGAGTCTGAGAGTGTGCGAGTCACGCATGCGAGTCTGTGAGTGTGCGAGTCTCTGCGTGTGAGTCTGTGAGTGTGCGAGTCTCTGCATGTGAGTCTCTACGTGTGAGTTTCTGCGTGCGAGTCTCTGCGTGCGAGTTTGTGAGTGTGAGTCTGTGAGTGTGCGAGTCTCTGCGTGTGAGTCTGTGAGTGCATGAGTCTGTGAGTTTGCGAGTCTCTGCGTGTGAGTTTCTGCGTGCGAGTTTCTGCGTGTGAGTCTGTGAGTGTGCGAGTCTCTGCGTGTGAGTCTGTGAGTGTGTGAGTCTGTGAGTGTGAGTCTGTGAGTGTGCCAGTCTCTGCGTGTGCGAGTCTCTGCGTGTGCGAGTCTGAGTGTGTGAGTCTGAGTGTGTGAGTCTCTGAGTGTGCCAGTCACTGCGTGCGAGTCTGTGAGTGTGTGAGTCTCTGCATGTGAGTCTGTGAATGTGCGAATCTCTGCGTGTGAGTCTGTGAGTGTGCGAGTCTCTGCGTGTGAGTCTGTGAGTGTGCGAGTCTCTGCGTGTGAGTTTCTGCGTGCGAGTTTCTGCGTGTGAGTCTGTGAGTGTGCGAGTCTCTGCGTGTGAGTCTGTGAGTGTGTGAGTCTGTGAGTGTGAGTCTGTGAGTGTGCCAGTCTCTGCGTGTGCGAGTCTCTGCGTGTGAGAGTCTGAGTGTGTGAGTCTGAGTGTGTGAGTCTCTGAGTGTGCCAGTCACTGCGTGCGAGTCTGTGAGTGTGTGAGTCTCTGCATGTGAGTCTGTGAATGTGCGAATCTCTGCGTGTGAGTCTGTGAGTGTGCGAGTCTCTGCATGTGAGTCAGTGAGTGTGCGAGTCTCTGCGTGTGAGTTTCTGCGTGCGAGTCTCTGCGTGTGAGTCTGTGAGTGTGAGTCTGTGAGTGTGCGAGTCTCTGCGTGTGAGTCTGTGAGTGCGTGAGTCTGTGAGTGTGCGAGTCTCTGCGTATGCGAGTCTGTGAGTGTGAGTCTGTGAGTGTGCGAGTCTCTGCGTGTGAGTCTCTGCGTGTGGGTTTCTGCGTGCGAGTCTCTGCGTGCGAGTCTGTGAGTGTGAGTCTGTGAGTGTGCGAGTCTCTGCGTGTGAGTCTGTGAGTGCGTGAGTCTGTGAGTGTGCGAGTCTGTGAGTGTGTGAGTCTGTGAGTGTGCGAGTCACTGCGTGTGAGTCTGTGAGTGTGCGAGTCTCTGCGTGTGAGTGTGTGAATCTCTGCGTGCGAGTCTGTGAGTGTGCGAGTCTCTGCGTGTGAGTCTGTGAGTGTGTGAGTCTGTAAGTATGCGAGTCTGTGAGTGTGAGTGTGCGAGTCACTGCGTGCGAGTCTGTGAGTGTGCGAGTCTCTGAGTGTGTGAGTCTGTGAGTGTGCCAGTCACTGCGTGCGAGTCTGTGAGTGTGCGAGTCTCTGCGTGAGTCTGTGAGTGTGCGAGTCTCTGCGTGTGAGTCTGAGTGTGCGAGTCTCTTCGTGTGAGTCGGTGAGTGTGTGAGTCTGTGAGTGCGCGAGTATGTGAGTCTGTGAGTGTGCGAGTCACTGCGTGCGAGTCTGTGAGTGTGTGAGTCTGTGAGTGTGTGAGTCTGTGAGTGTGCGAGTGTGTGAGTGTGCGAGTCTGTGAGTGTGTGAGTCTGTGAGTGTGCCAGTCACTGCGTGCGAGTCTGTGAGTGTGCGAGTCTCTGCGTGAGTCTGTGAGTGTGCGAGTCTCTGCGTGTGAGTCTGAGTGTGTGAGTCTGTGAGTGTGCGAGTCTGTGAGTGTGAGTGTGCGAGTCACTGCGTGCGAGTCTGTGAGTGTGCGAGTCTCTGAGTGTGTGAGTCTGTGAGTCTGCTAGTCACTGCGTGCGAGTCTGTGAGTGTGCGAGTCTGTGAGTGTGTGAGTCTCTGCATGAGCCTGCGTGTTGTGAGTTTGCAGCTCAATCACCTGCTCACTCACACGCACATGAGACTGTGAATGTGGGAGTCTGTGTGTGGCGAGTCTGCGTGTGAGTCTCTGCGTGTGCGAGTCTGAGTGTGCGAGTCTGAGTGTGTGAGTCTGTGAGTGTGCCAGTCACTGCGTGCGAGTCTGTGAGTGTGCGAGTCTCTGCGTATGAGTCTGTGAGTGTGCGAATCTCTGCGTGTGAGTCTGTGAGTGTGCGAGTCTCTGCGTGTGAGTCTGTGAGTGTTCGAGTCTCTGCGTGTGAGTTTCTACGTGCGAGTCTCTGCGTGTGAGTCTGTAAGTGTGCGAGTCTCTGCGTGTGAGTCTGTGAGTGTGCGAGTCTCTGCGTGTGAGTCTGTGAGTGTGTGAGTCTGTGAGTGTGCGAGTGTGTGAGTGTGCGAGTGTGTGAGTCTGTGAGTGTGCGAGTCTCTGCGTGTGAGTCAGTGAGTGTGCGAGTCTCTGCGTGTGAGTTTCTGTGTGCGAGTCTCTGCGTCCGAGTCTGTGAGTGTGAGTCTGTGAGTGTGCGAGTCTCTGCGTGTGAGTCTGTGAGTGCGTGAGTCTGTGAGTGTGCGAGTCTCTGCGTGTGCGAGTCTATGAGTGTGTGAGTCTGTGAGTGTGCGAGTCACTGCGTGCGAGTCTCTGCGTGTGAGTCTGTGAGTGTGCGAGTCTCAGCGTGTGAGTGTGTGAGTCTCTGCGTGCGAGTCTGTGAGTGTGCGAGTCTCTGCGTGTGAGTCTGTGAGTGTGCGAGTCTCTGCGTGTGAGTCTGTGAGTGTGCGATTCTCTGCGTGTGAGTCTGAGTGTGCGAGTCTCTGCGTGTGAGTCTGTGAGTGTGTGAGTCTGTGAGTGTGAGTCTGTGAGTGTGCGAGTCTCTGCGTGTGAGTGTGTGAGTCTCTGCGTGCGAGTCTGTGAGTGTACGAGTCTCTGCGTGTGAGTCTGAGTGTGCGAGTCTCTGTGTGTGAGTCGGTGAGTGTGTGAGTCTGTGAGTGTGCGAGTGTGTGAGTCTGTGAGTGTGCGAGTCACTGCGTGCGAGTCTGTGAGTGTGTGAGTCTGTGAGTTTGTGAGTCTGTGAGTGTGCGAGTGTGTGAGTGTGCGAGTCTGTGAGTGTGTGAGTCTGTGAGTGTGTGAGTCACTGCGTGCGAGTCTGTGAGTGTGCGAGTCTCTGCGTGCGAGTCTATGAGTGTGCGAGTCTCTGCGTGTGAGTCTGTGAGTGTGTGAGTCTCTGCGTGTGAGTCTGAGTGTGCGAGTGTCTGCATGTGAGTCGGTGAGTGTGTGAGTCTGTGAGTGTGCGAGTGTGTGAGTGTGAGTGTGCGAGTCACTGCGTGCGAGTCTGTGAGTGTGTGAGTCTGTGAGTGTGTGAGTCTGTGAGTGTGAGTGTGCGAGTCTGTGAGTGTGCGAGTCACTGCGTGCGAGTCACTGCGTGCGAGTCTGTGAGTGTGTGAGTCTGTGAGTGTGAGTCTGTGAGTGTGAGTCTGTGAGTGTGTGAGTCTCTGCGTGTGCGAGTCTGAGTGTGTGAGTCTGAGTGTGTGAGTCTGAGTGTGTGAGTCTGTGAGTGTGCCAGTCACTGCGTGCGAATCTGTGAGTGTGCAAGTCTCTGAGTGTGTGAGTCTCTGAGTGTGTGAGTCTCTGCTTGAGCCTGCGTGTGGTGAGTTTGCAGCTCAATCACCTGCTCACTCACACGCACGTGAGACTGTGAGCATGTGAGACTCTCTGAGCATGTGAGCCACTGTGTAAGGGTGTGAGTGTGCGAGTTGTGCGTGTATTGAGTCTACATGTGGTGAGTCTGGGTTTGAGTCTGCAGCTCAATCAGTTGTTCGCTCACATGCAAGCGAAACTGTGAATGTGGGAGTCTGTGTGTGGCGAGTCTGCGTGTGCGTCTGTGAGTGTGCGAGTCTCTGCTTGTGAGTCTGTGAGTGCGTGAGTCTGTGAGTGTGCGAGTCTCTGCGTGTGCGAGTCTGAGTGTGTGAGTCTGTGATTGTGCGAATCTCTGCGTGTGAGTCTGTGAGTGTGCGAGTCTCTGCGTGTGAGTCTGTGAGTGTGCGAGTCTATGCGTGTGAGTTTCTGCGTGCGAGTCTCTGCGTGTGAGTCTGTGAGTGTGCGAGTCTCTGCGTGTGAGTGTGTGAGTCTCTGCGTGCGAGTCTGTGAGTGTGCGAGTCTCTGCGTGTGAGTCTGAGTGTGCGAGTCTCTGTGTGTGCGTCGGTGAGTGTGTGAGTCTGTGAGTGTGCGAGTGTGTGAGTCTGTGAGTGTGCGAGTCACTGCGTGCGAGTCTGTGAGTGTGTGAGTCTGTGAGTGTGTGAGTCTGTGAGTGTGCGAGTGTGTGAGTGTGCGAGTCTGTGAGTGTGTGAGTCTGTGAGTGTGCGAGTCACTGCGTGCGAGTCTGTGAGTGTGCGAGTCTCTGCGTGCGAGTCTATGAATGTGCGAGTCTCTGCGTGTGAGTCTGTGAGTGTGTGAGTCTCTGCGTGTGAGTCTGAGTGTGCGAGTCTCTGCATGTGAGTCGGTGAGTGTGTGAGTCTGTGAGTGTGCGAGTGTGTGAGTGTGAGTGTGCGAGTCATTGCGTGCGAGTCTGTGAGTGTGTGAGTCTGTGAGTGTGTGAGTCTGTGCGTGTGAGTGTGCGAGTCTGTGAGTGTGCGAGTCACTGCGTGCGAGTCTGTGAGTGTGTGAGTCTGTGAGTGTGAGTCTGTGAGTGTGAGTCTGTGAGTGTGCGAGTCTCTGCGTGTGAGTCTGAGTGCGTGAGTCTGTGAGTGTGCGAGTCTCTGCGTGTGCGAGTCTGAGTGTGTGAGTCTGAGTGTGTGAGTCTGTGAGTGTGCCAGTCACTGCGTGCGAGTCTGTGAGTGTGCAAGTCTCTGAGTGTGTGAGTCTCTGAGTGTGTGAGTCTCTGCATGAGCCTGCGTGTGGTGAGTTTGCAGCTCAATCACTTGCTCACTCACACGCACGTGAGACTGTGAGCATGTGAGACTCTCTGAGCATGTGAGCCACTGTGTAAGGGTGTGAGTGTGCGAGTTGTGCGTGTATTGAGTCTACATGTGGTGAGTCTGCGTTTGAGTCTGCAGCTCAATCAGTTGTTCGCTCACATGCAAGCGAAACTGTGAATGTGGGAGTCTGTGTGTGGCGAGTCTGCGTGTGAGTCTGTGAGTGTGCGAGTCTCTGCGTGTGAGTCTGTGAGTGCGTGAGTCTGTGAGTGTGCGAGTCTCTGCGTGTGCGAGTCTGAGTGTGTGAGTCTGTGATTGTGCGAATCTCTGCGTGTGAGTCTGTGAGTGTGCGAGTCTCTGCGTGTGAGTCTGTGAGTGTGCAAGTCTCTGCGTGTGAGTTTCTGCGTGCGAGTCTCTGCGTGTGAGTCTGTGAGTGTGCGAGTCTCTGCGTGCGAGTCTGTGAGTGTGTGAGTCTGTGAGTGTGCGAGTGTGCGAGTGTGTGAGTGTGCGAGTGTGTGAGTCTGTGAGTGTGCGAGTCTCTGCGTGTGAGTCAGTGAGTGTGCGAGTCTCTGCGTGCGAGTCTCTGCGTGCGAGTCTCTGCGTGCGAGTCTGTGAGTGTGAGTCTGTGAGTGTGCGAGTCTCTGCGTGTGAGTCTGTGAGTGCGTGAGTCTGTGAGTGTGCGAGTCTCTGCGTGTGCGAGTCTGTGAGTGTGTGAGTCTGTGAGTGTGCGAGTCACTGCGTGCGAGTCTGTGAGTGTGCGAGTCTCTGCGTGTGAGTCTGTGAGTGTGCGAGTCTCAGCGTGTGAGTGTGTGAGTCTCTGCGTGCGAGCCTGTGAGTGTGCGAGTCTCTGCGTGTGAGTCTGTGAGTGTGCGAGTCTCTGCGTGTGAGTCTGTAAGTGTGCGATTCTCTGCGTGTGAGTCTGAGTGTGCGAGTCTCTGCGTGTGAGTCTGTGAGTGTGTGAGTCTGTGAGTGTGAGTCTGTGAGTGTGCGAGTCTCTGCGTGTGAGTGTGTGAGTCTCTGCGTGCGAGTCTGTGAGTGTGCGAGTCTCTGCGTGTGAGTCTGAGTGTGCGAGTCTCTGTGTGTGAGTCGGTGAGTGTGTGAGTCTGTGAGTGCGCGAGTGTGTGAGTCTGTGAGTGTGCGAGTCACTGCGTGCGAGTCTGTGAGTGTGTGAGTCTGTGAGTGTGTGAGTCTGTGAGTGTGCGAGTGTGTGAGTGTGCGAGTCTGTGAGTGTGTGAGTCTGTGAGTGTGCGAGTCACTGCGTGCGAGTCTGTGAGTGTGCGAGTCTCTGCGTGCGAGTCTATGAGTGTGCGAGTCTCTGCGTGTGAGTCTGTGAGTGTGTGAGTCTCTGCATGTGAGTCTGAGTGTGCGAGTCTCTGCATGTGAGTCGGTGAGTGTGTGAGTCTGTGAGTGTGCGAGTGTGTGAGTGTGAGTGTGCGAGTCACTGCGTGCGAGTCTGTGAGTGTGTGAGTCTGTGAGTGTGTGAGTCTGTGAGTGTGCGAGTGTGTGAGTGTGCGAGTCTGTGAGTGTGTGAGTCTGTGAGTGTGCGAGTCACTGCGTGCGAGTCTGTGAGTGTGCGAGTCTCTGCAGGCGAGTCTATGAGTGTGCGAGTCTCTGCGTGTGAGTCTGTGAGTGTGTGAGTCTCTGCGTGTGAGTCTGAGTGTGCGAGTCTCTGCATGTGAGTCGGTGAGTGTGTGAGTCTGTGAGTGTGCGAGTGTGTGAGTGTGAGTGTGCGAGTCATTGCGTGCGAGTCTGTGAGTGTGTGAGTCTGTGAGTGTGTGAGTCTGTGAGTGTGAGTGTGCGAGTCTGTGAGTGTGCGAGTCACTGCGTGCGAGTCTGTGAGTGTGTGAGTCTGTGAGTGTGAGTCTGTGAGTGTGAGTCTGTGAGTGTGCGAGTCTCTGCGTGTGAGTCTGAGTGCGTGAGTCTGTGAGTGTGCGAGTCTCTGCGTGTGCGAGTCTGAGTGTGTGAGTCTGAGTGTGTGAGTCTGTGAGTGTGCCAGTCACTGCGTGCGAGTCTGTGAGTGTGCGAGTCTCTGAGTGTGTGAGTCTCTGAGTGTGTGAGTCTCTGCATGAGCCTGCGTGTGGTGAGTTTGCAGCTCAATCACCTGCTCACTCACACGCACGTGAGACTGTGAGCATGTGAGACTCTCTGAGCATGTGAGCCACTGTGTAAGGGTGTGAGTGTGCGAGTTGTGCGTGTATTGAGTCTACATGTGGTGAGTCTGGGTTTGAGTCTGCAGCTCAATCAGTTGTTCGCTCACATGCAAGCGAAACTGTGAATGTGGGAGTCTGTGTGTGGCGAGTCTGCGTGTGGCGAGTCTACAGCTCGATCACCTGCTCGCTCGCACGCCCATGACACTGAGCGTGCAAGTCTATGAGTCTGCCCGAATCTGTGAGTCTGAGACTGACAGTTTGCGTGTCTCTCTATGTGAGTGGGTGTGTCTGAGTGAGTCTACGTGAGATTGAGAATCTACATGCGTCTGTGTGTCTCTATGCGTCTCTGTGTGAGTCTGAGTTTGCGTGTGTGTCTCTGGGAGTCTGAGTGAGTCTGTGAGAGTCTGTGAGGATGAATGTGTCTCTGTGAGCCTCTGTGTGAGTCTGTATGAGTCTTTAGTCTGCGTGTGTGTATCTGGGAGTCTGAGTAAGCAAGTGAGCCCGAGTCAGTCTGTGAGGGTCTACGTGTGTCATTGGGAGTCTCTGTGTGACTGAGTGAGAGTCTGTGGCCGTGTGTGTCTCTGTGAGTCTTGTGTGACTGAGTGAGTCTGAGTGAGAGTCTGTGGCAGTGTGAGTCTCTGTGAGTCTCTGTGCGAGTGAGGTGGAGGGGGGGTTGCTCACCTCTCGGAGTTCCCGGATCTGCTCGGTGAGCCCCCCGATCTCCGAGTAGGAGACCTGGCCCGGGTCTTCGTGGGACATGTTGTACACCAGCGGGTCCACCTCTCTGGGCAGGTACCTGGGGAGAATCACGGCAGGGCCTCGCTCACCCAACCACTCACCAACTCACCCACTCATTCACCCCCCCACTCACTCGCTCAGCCACCCACTCAACCACCACCCCCCCCCCCACTCACTCGCTCAGCCACCTACTCACCAACTCACCCACTCATTCACCCACTCACTCACTCAGCCAATCACTCAACACCACCCCCCCACTCACTAACTCGCCCACCCACTCACCCACTCACTCGCTCAGCCACTCACTCAACCACTCAACCACCCACTCACTCAGCCACTCAGATATGACGATGGTTCTAATGGTGGTGTGCTAATGGTGGCGGTAGTGATCATGGTGGTGATGGTGATGATGGTGGTTGTGATGATTGTGATGATTGCAATGATGATGATGCAGTGGAAGAGCAGCTTTAACCCTGTCTAGGAAATTCCACATTCACATGGCAAGGGCAGGAGATACAGTGGGCAGCACTGGGTGACCCCACCTCATGATGGTTAACGTGGTCATGTCCAGGGCCACTCGGGTTCCTGCCTTCAACTTTGACTTGTCCAGCTACAGAGAGAGACAGACAGATCTACAAAGAGACAGATACTGAGAGATATATCTAGTCACACTGAGACATACATAGATATCGAGAGCGACGGAAATATGTAGACATATATATAGACACAGAGATAGACAAAAACTGAGATAAATGATATACTGAGAAAAAGATCCACACAGATACAGAGACAGACATGAAGATAGATACGCAGATACAGTGAGAGGTACAGATATAGAAGCACATGAGGGAGTGGTGTCACCAGCACCGTACCTGGCCACCTTTGCCTCCCAGTGCTGACGTTTAACACACTGAAGGCGCTTATTTTGAGGCCAAGTCTACCTAGAGGAGGCCCATGACTGGTACTGATATTTGCAGTCACTATCCACTGCACCACCACTACCCAACACAAAGACAAAGGTGCCCCGCACAGCCTATAACAGACTGTTGGGGCAAGTGCTGTTAGTGAGGAGCAGCGCCTATGAAGGCCGGCTCTGTGGCACGCGAGGGGGTGAGTGGCCTGCACCACGCCCGGTCGCCTTCGTCTCCCAGTGGTAACGTTGACGACACACCACTCCTTCGGATAATCACTTGAGGGCTGAGTGGACCTAGGGGAGGCCCAGGACCGGTTTGATTAATCGCTATCACTGATGGTGTTGGTGGCGGTCGTGAGCGGGAATCGAACTTTGGGTCTTTGCTGGGGTTCGCAGCGCAGCACAGTGCTAACCGCTGCGCCACAGCTCCCCTAAAGACACACACAGCACACACAGCCTACACGGGATACACAGCCTACACGGGACACACAGCACACACAGCCTACACGGGACACACAGCCTACACGGGACACACAGCACACACAGCCTACACGGGACACACAGCACACACAGCATACACGGGACACACAGCCTACACGGGACACACAGCACACACAGCCTACACGGGACACACAGCACACACAGCATACACGGGACACACAGCACACACAGCCTACACGGGACACACAGCACACACAGCATACACGGGACACACAGCACACACAGCCTACACGGGACACACAGCACACACAGCCTACACGGGACACACAGCCTACACGGGACACACAGCACACACAGCCTACACGGGACACACAGCACACACAGCACACACAGCATACACGGGACACACAGCACACACAGCCTACACGGGACACACAGCACACACAGCCTACACGGGACACACAGCACACATGGGACACAGCCTACACGGGACACACAGCACACATAGCCTACACGGGACACACAGCACACACACGCTACACGGGACACGCAGCACACACAGCCTACACGGGACACACAGTACACACAGCCTACACGGTACACACAGCACACACAGCCTACACGGTACACACAGCACACATGGGACACAGCCTACACGGGACACAGCACACATGGGACACAGCCTACACGGGACACACAGCACACATAGCCTACACGGGACACACAGCACACACAGTCTACACGGGACGCACAGCACACACGGGACACAGCCTACACGGGACACACAGTACACACGAGACACACAGCACACACGGGACACACAGCACACATGGGACACAGCCTACACGGGACACACAGCACACATGGGACACAGCCTACACGGGACACACAGCACACACAGCCTACACGGGACACACAGCACACATGGGACACACAGCACACACGGGACACACAGCACACACGGGACACACAGTACACACGAGACACACAGCACACACGGGACACACAGCACACATGGGACACACAGCACACACGGGACACACAGCACACACGGGACACAAAGTACACACGAGACACACAGCACACACAGGACACACAGCACACATGGGACACAGCCTACACGGGACACACAGCACACATGGGACACAGCACACACGGGACACACAGCACACACGGGACACACAGCACACATGGGACACAGCCTACACGGGACACACAGCACACATGGGACACAGCCTACACGGGGCACACAGCACACACGGGACACACAGCACACATGGGACACAGCCTACACGGGACACACAGCACACATGGGACACAGCCTACACGGGACACACAGCACACATGGGGACACAACGCACACACATCACGCACGAGGACACAGCACACATGAGACACCGCCTACACGGGACACACAGCACACATGGGACACACAACACACATGGGACACAGTCTACACGGACACACAGCACACATGGGGACACAAAGCACACACAGCACGCACGGGGACACACAGCACACATGGGACACAGCCTACACGGGACACACAGCACACACAGCCTACACGGGACACACAGCACACATGGGACACACAGCACACACGGGACACAGCCTACACGGGACACACAGCACACATGGGACACAGCCTACACGGGACACACAGCACACATGGGACACACAGCACACATGGGACACACAGCACACATGGGGACACAAAGCACACACAGCACGCACGGGGACACACAGCACACATAGGACACAGCCTACACGGGACACACAGCACACATGGGATACAGCCTACACGGGACACACAGCACACATGGGACACACAGCACACATGGGGACACAAAGCACACACAGCACGCACGGGGACACACAGCACACAAGGAGACATACAGCACACACAGAGATACAAAGAACACACGAGCCACACAGGGGACACACAGCACATGTGGAGTGCTCTGTCCCGCGGTGGCGAGATGTTGACTACCTCGCCTGGTATGCAGGAGGACATGGGTTCGATCACAACCCCGACAATGCTTGCTGCTGTATATTTGGAGTCTGCGTCTCTCTCACCCCGTGGTCACATGGATTTTTCTCCGGGTCCTCCAGTTTTTCCGTCCACATTTAGAATCAACGTCACGCGTTTAAGGGTATTTGGCTGCTATAAATGTCCACGTGATAATCCACTTCGTTGAGCTATCATTTGTGATAGCCAAGTCACTTCTGAATACAGCTACATAGCTCAGTGGGCCTTACCTAGTAAAATTAATATAATGTATAGTTTTATAGTCACCTGTCTGCGACATCCGACCACATAGCGAGGCCCATTGGTAGCCTTCACGATAACTGAGACACAGAGGGAGAGAAATCATTGTCAATATCATGAACATCACAATACCTGGGACACACATACAGGCCGGCATTCTCACTCACAGACATACACATATACACCACAACAACACCACTAGGTGGTGGTGACATCATCACCACGGTGCTTGTGCCAGGCCAGGTGCCCTTTCCGGCCACGTGCAGTGTCAAAGGCTCGCCGACAGGAGGTCACAGGACAGGACCCAGGTGCCACATGGGTTGACCGACTGAGATGACCGACAGATGCTTCCCACTAAGCCAATTTCTTGCGTTTCCGCCGTCTGGAGTTCTGCTCGTTCTTCTGAGTATTGCTCCTTCGTCCTCCATCTGGGTTAAACCCAGGGTGGATCGTAGGCAGGCCAGCCTGAATGTTTCAAACCGGCGCAGAGGTTCCATTCCTCCAGTCTAAATAAAGATTCTGATTCTGACGGAGAAGTCTCAATGCTTCGCGAGCATAGAGAAGGGAGGGCATAACAATGGCCGAAAAGACCCGAAGCTTCATGTGGAGCGACAGGCCAGGTAACTTTCACACAGCGTTACGCAGCCAATGAAGAGATGTCACCAGACGAATTCCGAGTGAGACCTCCGTTGCCAAACCAGATTTGGTCATAAGCACACTGCCCAGGTACGGGAACTACTCCACTCTCTCCACAACTGCCCCATCCACTCATGGGGAGTTATGGGGATGGGAGTATTTGATAATGTATAAAACACCCAGCCAAGTGCTATGTTTTGGTGGGGCTGATGGTAAGGCCCCAGGTTCAACAGCAGCGCCTCCAACTCCTTCTCAGAGTGAGCAATAATCAACAGATCTTTTTCGATTTAAAGCTTTCGTGACTGCAGGGATTCATATTCTTGGTTCTTTCGGTAAAGCCACGTATTATTTTATTATTATTTTCCTTCTACGTGACTTTACCGAAAGAACCAGGAAGATGACTCAACAGATCATCAGCATACGTAACATGGTTAATTAATAGGGAGCCATCTCTTTACCCGGGCATCGATCAGCCTCCCATTGTATATGTGTGGTGGTCAAGGTTGACACCAAGGTTGACACAGGTCACACAGGTCACACAAGCTAGGGGAGAGGTACGTACCGGTCTGGACCGGTCCGGACCGGCAGAGACGAGAGGTGGTTGGAACCGCTCTGAGGGGAGGGGGCTGGCGAGAGCCAGGGCCCCGAGACACCCCCGCCCCTCAGAGAGAAGGGATATAAGACGGCTCCCGAAGAGCAGGGGGGGGGCCATCTCACCAGAAGCTGAAGGAGGTGCGGCCGGAGATCCTGGATGCCGCCCCGCTGGGACTGAGTGGGCTGACTAGCTGTAGGCTAGTCGACGAAGCTAACCTTTCCTCGCTGGGGGCGGCACATTACCTGCACACAGAGTTGCTCCTCCAGCGGGATGGGCAGGTGGCGGCGTGCGCCGCTGCAAGAGTTGACGAGGTCCCGGATACCCAGGCCTTCGCGTCGCAGCGGGCCGCCAGTTGGAGGGGGGCCGACCGGCCTCGCCAAGGGGAACCCCGGCGGAGACACGGATCCCCGCGGGCGTGGGCTCGCGTCACGTGCTACAACTGTGGCCAGCTGGGTCACCTGGCATCGGGTTGCCCAGCACCCCGGCGCCGGGCTCCGGGTCGTCCACCATCGTCCGCCCATCCGCCGGCCGCTCCACAAGAACCCCAGGCATGTCGCGACACCTCACGCACATGGTGCCTGCCCGCATCTCATACACCACGAATCGGCGCGCCACTAAATCGCGTTGCGTTGAGGGGTGGGGAGCGGAACGGGGCTGATGTTCGGGGGCCACTTCGCGCGGTTCAGTGGTCCGAGTTGACCCACAGGGTCGTGGCCACGGCGACGGGCTCGTCGGTTATTCTCGGGGATATTGAGGGGATTCAATTTCGATTGTTGGTCGATACGGGGGCTTCGGCTACTATAATTTCCGACCTCATATACAACGTGTTACCAAAGAGATGTCAGGCACTCGCCCCGTTCTCCGTCCCTTGTTTTGGGGCGAATGGGGATTCCCTGGGGATTATTGGCCAAATAACTGCACAAATTTGTATTGGCGACATTAAATTATCTGGTCCCGTTTTGGTTTCCGATGCCTTGGCCGTTCCCTGTTTGTTGGGTACGGACTTCTTGGGGAGGATGCCCATCAAAATTTTAATTGACAAAGGCTGCATCGAGCTTCCTTCGGGCCGCCGGATGGCATTTCTGCCCTCACCAAACCGGCTGCGCACGGCTTGCGCGACTGTTCCGGCTATGGCGTCTGAAACCGTGCGGATTCCGCCGGGTGCGCAGATGCTAATACCGCTTCAGTTACGCAAACCACTGGAGGAAGACGCTACGTCGGGGGTTTTGTTGTCTCCTTCCAATACGACCGAGCAAGCGTTGGACCTGGTGGGTGCACAAACGCTTGTGCCTAGAGATGGACAGCCCTTCATTCTATTGCTGAATGCGGGGTTGCGGACGAAGGTCGTGCACCGAGGGGCTGTGATTGCACATGCATCGCTGCCGCTGCACACTGACTCCGTCGCGGCTCATGTCGGTGAGGCGCCGGCGTCCGGGACACAGGGGGGTGTCGATGAGGTATGGATGGATGCTCTCTGTTCAGGGGCTGAAAATCTTTCCGAGTCACAAAGATTAAAGCTGCGCATGTTGCTTCGTAAATTTCCCGATGTTTTTAGCAAACACAAATTCGATGTTGGGTGCACTAATCTATTTAAACACCACATTGATACGGGGGATTTCGCCCCCATTCGGCAAAATGCGTTCCGATTGAGTCCGGCAGAGAAGGAACATGTCCGTTGGCAGTGAATGACATGCTTGCCGCAGACATTGTGGCTCCCTCCAACAGCCCATGGGGTGCGCCGATTGTGCTTGTTAAAAAACATGATGGCAGTTTGAGGTTTTGTGTGGATTTTCGGAAGCTTAACAAGGTTTCGCTGGCGGACGCGTATCCGCTCCCTCGCATGGACGAGTCGCTCGATGCCTTGGCGGTGGCGCGGTATTTTTCAACCTTGGACCTTTTGTCGGAGTTTTGGCAACTGCCCTTGGATGAGGCTTCCAAACCTAAGACCGCGTTCCGTACGCCACAGGGCCTTTATCAGTTCAATCGGTTGCCCATGGGATTGCACTCAGCTCCAGCGACGTTCCAGAGATTGATGGAACTGGTCCTCGCTGGCCTGCAGTGGGACTCTTGTCTTATATATCTGGACGACGTGATTATTTTCAGCCGTACGTTTGAGGAACATCTGGACAGACTGCGGGCTGTATTTCTCAGAGTGCGATCGACTAACCTTAAATTTAAGCCTCAGAAATGTTTCCTGTTGCGTGAATCGGTGCGGTACCTCGGCCACGTTGTCAGTTCTACGGGTATAGCCACCGATCCTGCAAAAACTGACTGTGTAAGAACGTGGCCTACGCCAACGTCTGTGGGGGAAGTCCGCAGCTTTATAGGCTTTGCTTCCTATTACAGCCGGTTTGTTGAGGAGTTTGCGACGATCGCCAAACCCCTTCATGCTCTGACGGCTAAGGGGGCTAAATTCCATTGGGGGGAAGAGGAAGACAGGGCGTTCAGGGCGCTTCGCGATGCCCTTGTCCGAGCTCCTCCCTTATGCTATCCCGATTTCACGTTGCCCTTCATCCTGGACACCGATGCCAGAAATACCGGCATCGGCGTGGTGCTTTCGCAGGTTGTCAACGGGGTCGAACGGGTCATTGCCTACGGCAGTAGAGTCCTGTCTCCGGCAGAACAACGTTATTGCGTCACCCGCCGTGAACTGCTCGCTATTGTCGTGTTTGTTCAACAATATCGACCGTACCTGTATGGTAGGCATTTTACAGTTCGTTCCGATCATGCCGCGCTACAGTATGCGTTGAAAATAGACCAGCCGTCCGGCCAGCTGTCACGTTGGCTTGAGGTCCTACAGGACTACACGTTCATGGTTGTGTACCGGAAGGGGACACAACATTCAAACGCGGATGGCTTGTCACGGCTTCCTCGGGGTGATGGGTGCACGTGTTTTATGGGCTCGGGGAGATGCAAATCGGCCACGAGTACCGCTTCGGCTTCTCCCTTGGCGGCGACAGCAGGGGTGGTCGATGGGGAACCTGTCGCCGAGGGGGACTCGCAGGTGTTGGTCGCTCGCGACTCGCTCCTCGATCTGCCTCTGGACGAATGGGGACGGTTCCAGATGGAAGACAATTCCCTCCTCAGGTTACGCCGTCGTGCGGAGAGAGGGGGAGATTGTCAGGAAAGGGTAGGTACTGTCAGGTTGCGGGAGGGTCTCCTCATGTCATGGGACGCCAGCTCGGGGCGTTACAAAATCGTCGTCCCCACCGCTCTGCGGGGCAGGGCCGTGTGGGCGGCGCACGAACGCATCCTGCATTTGGGTATTCACAAAACGCTCGCTACACTGCAATTGGATTTTTTTTGGCCGAGAATGGCGCACGATGTCGCCGACCTTTTGAATAGTTGCACGCAGTGTGCGCGGCGGAAACACCCGGCTAGGGCGGCTTGCCCACCCCTTCAGTCCATTCAGGTGTCCCGGGTTAACGAGTTGGTGGCTCTTGACATTCTGGGTCCCTTCCCTGTCACCGCTCGGGGTAATAAGTACCTGCTGGTTGGGGTTGAATATTTCACCCGTTGGCCTATGGCCTGGCCCCTCCCCAACCAGTCGGCGGCAGCCATTGCGGAGGCGTTTCTCCAGGGCTACGTCCTGGATAAGGGCGCCCCGGAACGGCTGCTAACCGACCAGGGAAAGAACTTTCCCCCTACCACCCGCAGACCGATGGTATGGTCGAACGTCTACACCGGACCATTACCTCTATGTTGTGTCATCAGGTAGACGACACACAGTTGGATTGGGACCTGAGGATTCCCGGAGTTCTGGCCGCATATAGGTTGGCGCCTCACGCGGCCACGGGCTATTCGCCCTTCTACTTAATGTACGGCAGGGATGTCGACCCCCCCATGGAGGTGCAATTTCGGGTCCAGACGGCGGCGTCTCGCTCGAAACTCTCCGAACACTCTCAGTTCAAGGGTGGCCGCGCAGGAAAATTCCAGGGCAAGGCAACGAGCCAACGAGCGTCTGTATGATCGCCGGGTTACAGTGTATAAATGGGCGGTAGGGGATAAGACGTGGCTGCACTGCCCGCAGGTGCCGCTGTCAACGTCATCGAAATTGCTGCAGCCCTGGCGGGGGCCGGTCGACATTGTTCGGGTCGTTCGGGACCAGTGTGTTAGGGTCGCGTGCGGACGGCGTTCTTGGTATGTGCACCCCTCGCGCCTGAAGCCCTATGTCGCACCACGTACTCACACACCTTCATCTCGCAGGGGCCGGCCGCGTGATGTGTTCGGCAGGTTGGGGGAGGGGCCTCGTGATCCCCTTGTTGTTCTGAAACCCCCTGCCACTCTTTCGGATGCTGCAGGTGTGAGTCCACTTCGGGTGGCCTCACCAGAGGAGCGGGAACCGAGCCGGCCGCCTGTCCAGCAGGAAGACGACTCGCGGGCTTTGTCCCCGGGCCTCGGGATGTGCCGGACGCCCGTCATCTGGCCCCTCCTGACCCTCCGCAAGAAACGCTGGCCTCTGGCGATGGACCCGCCACACGGACTCGTTCGAAGGGTCTCAGGTTCTCCTGAGACCTGTCGCAGATACACTGCCTCCTCGCGGGGCCTGGGTGTTCGAGTCACCTTGTTCGTTGGTGTGGTGTGTCTGCAGTGTTTTGTGTACAGGGGGGTTGGGGTAAATTATTGGGAATAGTTGTGTTTGTTGTTCTGTTGTTGTTATTGTTGTGTTGAGGCTCACACATTGTTCTTGTTGTGTTCAGAATTCCTGTTTCGCGAGTTAGGGTTGGGATGTGGATAGTGATGCAGCCGGGACGGCTGCGTGCTGTATAGGGGGGGGGGGGTGATGTGGTGGTCAAGGTTGACACCAAGGTTGACACAGGTCACACAGGTCACACAAGCTAGGGGAGAGGTACGTACCGGTCTGGACCGGTCTGGACCGGCAGGGACGAGAGGTGGTTGGAACCGCTCTGAGGGGAGGGGGCTGGCGAGAGCCAGGGCCCCGAGACACCCCCGCCCCTCAGAGAGAAGGGATATAAGATGGCTCCTGGAGAGCGGAGGGGGGCCATCTCACCAGAAGCTGAAGGAGGTGCGGCCGGAGATCCTGGACCCCAAGCCTCGAGGATGCCGCCCCGCTGGGACTGAGTGGGCTGACTAGCTGTAGGCTAGGGAAGGAGAGTAATTGAGTAGCTGTAGGCTAGGGAAGGAGAGTAATGAGAATAGAGCCGGAGGCTGTACCTCCCTAGGTTGTGTGGTTGGGCTGTTCCCCCAGTGAGTCCTGAGGACTAGTGTTATTGGAATAAAAGCGTGTGGCCTCTACGACGTCTCTGTCTCATTCAAGAATACTACATATGTACCAGATGGAAATTCCTCTGGTACATAGTCAAAGATGATGTTCAATAGAACATGGGACAGAGTACATCCCTGTCACACCCCAAGGTGAATAGGGAATGGCTCTGACTCCAGGCTACACAGCTTTATCCAGGCCTGCCAACCATCATGAAGGCCCTTACAGATTGTGAGCAGAGAGTTAGGGACTCCAACAGCACGAGAATCTAGAGCCCTGGCCTTATGATGGTATCATAGGCCTTGATCAGGTTAATAAAGCGGAAATGCTGGTCCTGTTGATATTCCGTTCACCTCTGCTGTAGCAGACGGACACATAAAATGGCGTGCGTGCAAGTCCGCCCTGGCCTGAAACCATATTGGGGCTCCGCAAGCCTCTCCTCAGCGTGCCTGGCAAGGCGATGTTAAATAATCCTTGCCAGGACCATTCCCGTCACACCGAGGAGGGAAATGCCCCTGGAGTTTTTACAGTCTGTGTGGTGCCCCTTCTTAAAGAGGGGGCCGACCAGGGCATCCTTCCAATCTGCAGAACCCATCCTGTGGTCCAGACAGCTGTATTGATATTACATAGGAGAGTCTGCACACAAACGCCACCCTCCCTCAGCGGTTCACTTGGGAGATCATCTCTGGCCGACACTTTACCTGGTCTCAGGCTCTAAATTGCTCTTTGTACTTCCCCAAATAATGGTAGACAAATATCTCCAATATTTGCGGAAACAGCAGTCCCAGCACAGGGTTATCCCTACCTTGCCTCGATATTATCTGGGCTGAGGGATTTCCCTTCCCCCAAGTTACTCATAGAATTGCTCAGCAAATCCTTAAGGATCATGATAGGTGTGGTGCTAATGGAATTAAAGAGTGATTTGTGACCGCGAGCTACTGAAGCACTTTCCATCTCCATAACAATCCGTGACCACCACTCTATCCTTACAGGACTACACGGCTCTCCGAACCTCCAAGCAAAGGCCACATTGAGCCTCCTCATTCTCTGATGTGAGATCCTGTAGATGGTGGGAGCGGGTACACTGCTTTTTCTCAGCTAGCCAGAACATTTCTTGTTAGCCAGGGTCTCTGGGGAGGTCTGGACCACGTACTTCATGAATCCAATAGAATCTGCATGAGCCACAGTCCTGAACCTCACCCATTTCCCCTCGGCATCAGGAAGGGGGAAGCATGTCAACCCCAGCTGCAAGCGATGATGAAATTCTCGCTTGCAACTTTCATCAGCTAGCTGAGAGCACGTCACTTTGGGTTTGAATGGGGTCCTAAATGGACACCTACCACCGGAGTAGAAGAATGGCAGGTGCATTTTCCAGATGGCAAGCTGATGGTCAATGGGCAGAGCAGCATCACGATAGATCCTGGTGTTAAAGACATGGGCCCGAATTCTCGTATCACTATCTAGTCCAGCAGATGTTCTTGCTTAGACCCGGCATGCATCCATGTAGTTGTGTGGATGTGCCAATGCTGGAACGTGTTGGTGATTACAAACCTATAAGCTGCACAGAAGTCTAACAGCCTCCTACCGTTGTTATTGAGCTGATTTGGCCCATGCATTCCAATCACCTGCATCCTAAACAGGCATTGAAGTCACCTGATAGTCACTATCCCGAGAGCCACTTTAGCTAGCACCTGTGACAGGTCATCGAAGGCATGCGACTCATCAGCTTTGCCTACATCCCTCCAATGATGTTCATCTTCATTAGGGGTGTAAACCAATCACCACCACCATTCTTAAAATCCTGGTGATGGGGAGGCAAGCCCACAGTCACTTTGGACTCACAGCTTCCCACACCTCACCTCCACACTCCCAAACCCCCTTCATTCTTTTGTTCAGAAGCAGAGCCACTCCCTGTTGTTTGTAAGTTTCCTGCCCTGTGTGCAGGACTGTCCACACATCAAGGAGCAAGAACCAATCCACCAGACCCTCTTGTAATCCAGAGGTCCAGGCAATACTGCTCCATCTCCCGACAGCGTTTGTGTATGTCATCGATTTTTATTCCAATTAAAACTAAAATAAAATAACTTTATCGGTACCAAGGCTCCCCACAAGGCCATTATGGAGGGTTGTGTGGCACAGTATGGCGCCAGCTATCGTAGAGTACGGCGGTCGTGTTGCTACGGTTCTCTGTGGTAACGATGTCTTCATAAAAACGTCGCTACTACACCTCTCTAAATAAAATTGACGCTGAACCGCTCGCGCCTTCCGAGATTCAGCAGTGAAGGGGACACCCACGACCCGGCAACTTACAGACATCTCATAATGGGAAACGGTTGATATATTTTATTTGTAGTTTTAGTGGTAATTAAATTTAAGGTGGAGGGGTCACAAGCCCCTCGCGCCAGTCCAGAGCCCACGTTGGCCACTGTGGCGGCTGTGATCGCCATGAGGGCATCAACGGATTGGCATTGCTCACAGCCACCACAGCATTACCAACAATCAACCACCGAGGAGGTGGCGGGGGGGTTTAAATTACCGAGCAGTGCTACCCAAATTACACAGACATGGAGAGGCAGCAAGAGGCATGACACACAGTAACATCGCGACCACCAAAGATAAAGATCCCCCGTATAGCATTAATAGACTATTGGGGCAGGTGCTGTTAGCGAGCACCTATGTAGGCCGACACGGCACACGAGGGGGTGGGTGGCCAGCATCACACCCGGCCGCCATTGCCTCCCCTTGTGGCGATGTTTACACATCGCACAAGGTACTCATTTGAGGCTGAGTCGACCTCGGGGAGGCTCAGGACCTGATCAGATAATCGTCACTGGTGTTAGCTGTGAGCAGGAATCGAGCTCGGGTCGCCGGGTTCGTAGTGCAGCGCTCTAACCGCAACACTTCCGCTCCCCACAACCACAATCACCACCATCATGACCACCACAATTGCCATCACCACCATCTGTTGGAGTTGGTCTCCACAGACTGGGCCCTGCCATAGGAATGTGTAATTTCCAGAGCCAGTTCTTACATTTGTCCTCAGTGAGCTGTTTGAGAACCTCTCCCACATTCTGCAACACAAAAACAGTTGGTGAAACACCCGCAACGTGAAACAATCAATAGTCACACTCAGCCACTCGGTTATTCACTCACTCGCTAAAAAACTCATTCAGTGACACTGGGACAAACTCAATAGACACTCAATAGACACACTCAGCTACTCGCTCGCTCACTCACTAAAATACTTATTAAGTGGCACTCTGTGACACACTCAGTAGACACACTCAGACACTCGGTTATTCACTCACTCACTAAAACACTCATTCAGTGACACTGTGACACACTCAATAGTCACACTCAGATACTCACTCGGTTACTCACTCACTCAAACACTAATTCAGTGACTCTGTAACATACTCAATAGTCAAAATCAGGCACGCACTCACTCATTCAGTGACAATGACACACTCAATAGACACTATCAAAAACACTGAGCTACTCACTCGCTCACTCACTAAAATACGTATTAAGTGGCGCACTGTGACACACTCATTAGACACACTCAGACACTCGGTTATTCACTCACTCGCTAAAACGCTCAGTGACACTGCAATACACTCAATAGACACACTCAATAACCACTCAGCCACTCGCTCGCTCACTCGCTCACTAAAACACCCATTCAGTGACACTCTGTGACACACTCAAGTCACACTCAGATACTCACTCGGTTACTCACTCAAACACTAATTCAGTGACACTCTGTGACACTCAATAGCCACACTCAGACACTCACTCAAACACTCATTCAGTGACACGCTTTGATACACTCACTCAATAACCACACGGTCATTCACTCAATGACTCCCGAGGCAGTAATGACTGTCCTTTAGCGAGTGGTGGTAGTGCCTTGTGTCTGTACCTGGCCCACGCTCTGCAGAGCCTTGAGGTCGTTCTCGGACTTGTCATACTGCTTAGTCAAATCCTTGAGCTGTTCACGGACTGAGAGACACCATCACCACCATCATTATCATCAACACCACCATCAACACCACCATCAACACCATCATTATCATTAACACAACCATCATCAACACCACCATCACCACCACCATCACCACCATCATCAACACCATCACCACCATCATTATCATTAACACCATCACCATCATCACCATCATTATCATCAACACCACCATCACCACCACCGTCATCATCAACATCATCACCACCATCATTATCATCAACATCATCACAAACATCATTATCATCAACACCATCACCACTACGCCCGACCTTATGGAAGAGGTACGTAGATGACACTTTTGTCATCTGGCCACATGGCCGGCCTGCTCTAGACCAATTTCTCGACCACATCAATTCCATACACCCAGCCATCAAATTCACCATGGAAGTCGAAAAAGATGGCAAGCTACTCTTTTTGGGTGTCCTAATTAAAAGGAGACCTGATGGTTCAATGAGCCACTCTGTCTACAGGAAAGCCACCCATACGGATGCTTACCTAAAACCGGATTCCCACCACCATCCATCCCAGAAGAATTCCCTCATCAAGACTCTATACTATAGAGCCCAATGCATTTCCGACCAGGAACACATTGGCAGTGAACTCAAACACGTACGCCAAGCTCTTAAGGCTAATGGTTACTCCGACTACACAATCTGCAAGGCCATCACTCCAACCATCAAGAAGGATCCTGTTGAGGAGCCTTTCAAGACCATCACCTTACCCTACATTGCTGGGGTTACAAAAAAAGATCTAGAAAATCCTGATTAAACACAAGATCCAGGTCCGATTCAACACAGTACATAAAATCCGTGATCTGGTCCCGTCTGTAAAAGATGTGGTTCCAGACATACAGTACCCTGGCGTATACAAACTAAGTTGCCTCTGTGGTAGCAGTTACATTGGAGAAACCAAACGACATGTCTCGGACCGCATCCGTGAACATAAAGCAGACCTGAAACACGGTAGGACAAACACCTCAGCCGTGGCAGATCACTGTTACAATTCAGTGGGCTCACATGATATTGACTTCTCCAAGACAGAGGTTCTCTGCAAGCCATCTGGCTATCATGAGAGATTCGTTCATGAGGCGATCCACATATTCAAACACAGAGACAATTTCAACCGAGAAGATGGATTCTGGCTCAGCAATCATTGGAAGGACATAATAAACCATTTCGGATCTTAACTGATTGTGTTCACGTTTACGGTGACTTTCAGACCGCAGTCCACTCACTGGCATCTAACCTATATAATTCATTTTTTGTCTGTCTGTCTGTCCGTCCGTCTGCGTACGCTCCCTTCCGGGGGATTTAGCTCTCGGACCGTGGGGTTCGCCGAGATTAAATTTTGCAGGTGGGCACGCCCCCGGCCCGCGATAAACTTAGGCATTTCCGATTTTTCGTCTCTAAACTTTAAATCGGCCCGATTATCGATTTAGTGCGATTTCTCTTTAGTTATTTATTTAAGCCTTTATTTATTTATTTAATATTGCCGGCCGGCGCGGACCACGGCGGTTGCCCCTGGCAACGGGTAGCAACAACTTCACTGCGGGGTGGACGCCATTTTTAATTCCCGTTAAAAATATGCGCACGCATTAACACGCGACTCTGAGGTAAATTCATCAAAGTTTCACGTCCTCTTCACTCCCCTTCCACCCCAATGTGTGCAATTATTATTATAGGGTCGGTAGATAATAAAATTATAGCGATTAGACAGTATTATTGTAGCGCGGGGGGGGGGGGGGGTAACGGCCCCAGCACCCAGCCTCAGCCGGGTGGGCAATCTAGGCGAGGCCGGAGGCTCTGCACGGTACTAGGCCTCGACACGCAACTCTGTCAGGCGACCACTTTGTGGTATAAACTCGATATACCCAGCGTTGCCCGGGGGAAAAATACATTTAAAATCTTCTGAAAACTTTAAAACATAACATACCAATGAAAATACAACTGTGTAATTAAAATTCTAAACCCGACCGCGCCAAGAATCGATTCTCTGAATCGCGAAAAGGAATCGACGGTTGTAGATTAATTTAGAATCGCCTTATTTCCGTTTAATATAAGTTGGTTATAGAGTTGATATAAACTGCTACGAATGGGAAATATCCGGCGTTGACCGGGGCTAAAATATAATTAAAAACTCCTGAAAACTTTATAACATAACATACGAATGAAAATAAAACTCTGTAATTAAAAATGGAAACCTCCTATGCGCCAGGAATCGATTCTTTGAATCGCGCAAAGGAATCATCGAAGGTTGTAGATTCCTTTAGGATCGCCCTTAACATGAGAGTGGTGAGGGAGAGTGGTGAGGGAGAGTGGTGAGGGAGAGTGGTGAGGGAAAGTGTTGAGGGAGAGTGGTGAGGGAAAGTGGTGAGGGAGAGTGAGTGTGAGTGGTGAGGGTGAGTGGTGAGGGTGAGGTTGAGTGGTGAGGGTGAGTGGTGACGGTGAGTGGTGATTGGTGAGGGTGAGTGGGGAGGGTGAGTGGCGGTTGTTAGTGGTGATTAGTGAGGGATGAGTGGTGAGGGTGAGCGTGAGTGGTGAGGGTGAGGTTGAGTGGTGAGCAGTGAGGGTGAGTGGTGATTGGTGAGGGTGTGATTGGTGAGGATGAGTGGTGAGGGTGAGTAGTGAGGGTGAGTGGTTGTTGTGAGGGTGAGTGGTTGTTGTGAGGGTGAGTGGTGAGGGTGAGTGGTAAGAGTGAGTGGTGAGGGTGAGTGACGGTTGTGAGAGGTGATTAGTGAGTGATGAGGGTGAGTGGTGAGGGTTAGTGGTGAGCATGAGTGGTGAGGGTGAGTGTTGAGCGTGAGTGGTGAGGGTGAGTGGTGATTGTTGAGAGTGTGATTGGTGAGGATGAGTGGTGAGTAGTGAGGGTGAGTGGTGAGGGTGAGTGGTGAGGGTGAGTGGCGGTTGTGAGTGGTGATTAGTGAGGGGTGAGTGGTGAGGGTGAGCGGTTAGGGTGAGTGGTGAGGGTGAGCGGTGAGGATGAGCAGTGAGGGTGAGTGGTGATTGGTGAGGGTGTGATTGGTGAGGATGAGTGGTGAGTGGTCAGGGTGAGTGGTGAGGGTGATTGGTGAGGGTGAGTGTTGAGGGTGAGTGGTGAGTGGTTAGGGTGAGTAGTGAGGGTGAGTGGTGAGCGTGAGTGGTGAGTGGTGAGCGTGACTGGTGAGGGAGAGTGGTGAGGGAGAGTGGTGAGGGAGAGTGGTGAGGGAGAGTGGTGAGGGAGAGTAGTGAGTGGTGAGGGTGAGTGGTAAGTGGTGAGGGTGAGTGGTGATTGGTGAGGGTGAGTGGTGAGGGAGAGTGGTGAGGGAGAGTGGTGAGGGGGAGTGGTGAGGGAGAGTGGTGAGGGTGAGTAGTGAGTGGTGAGGGTGAGTGGTAAGTGGTGAGGGTGAGTGGTGATTGGTGAGGGTGAGTGGGGAGGGTGAGTGGCGGTTGTTAGTGGTGATTAGTGAGGGGTGAGTGGTGAGGGTGAGCGTGAGTGGTGAGGTTGAGTGGTGAGCAGTGAGGGTGAGTGGTGATTGGTGAGGGTGTGATTGGTGAGGATGAGTGGTGAGGGTGAGTAGTGAGGGTGAGTGGTTGTTGTGAGGGTGAGTGGTTGTTGTGAGGGTGCGTGGTGAGGGTGAGTGGTAAGAGTGAGTGGTGAGGGTGAGTGACGGTTGTGAGAGGTGATTAGTGAGTGGTGAGGGTGAGTGGTGAGGGTTAGTGGTGAGGGTGAGTGGCGGTTGTGAGTGATTAGTGAGGGGTGAGTGGTGAGGGTGAGCGTGAGTGGTGAGGGGGAGTGGTGAGGGTGAGCGGTGAGGGTGAGCGGTGAGGGTGAGTGGTGATTGGTGAGGATGTGATTGGTTGGGATGAGTGGTGAGTGTCGAGGGTGAGCGGTGAGGGTGAGTGTTGAGGGTGAGTGGTGAGTAGTGAGGGTGAGTGGTGAGCGTGACTGGTGAGTGGTGAGGGTGAGTGGTTAGGGAGAGTGGTGAGGGAAAGTGGTGAGGGTGAATGGTGAGGGTGAGTGGTGAGGGTGAATGGTGAGGTTGAGTGGTGAGGGTGAGTGGTGATTGGTGAGGGTGAGTGGTGAGGGTGAGTGGGGAGGGTGAGTGGCAGTTGTGAGTGGTGATTAGTGAGAGGTGAGTGGTGAGCATGAGTGGTGAGGGTGAGGTTGAGTGGTGAGCGGTGAGGGTGAGCAGTGAGGGTGAGTGGTGATTGATGAGGGTGCGATTGGTGAGGATGAGTAGTGAGGGTGAGTGGTTGTTGTGCGGGTGAGTGATGAGGGTGAGTGGTAAGAGTGAGTGGTGAGGGTGAGTGACGGTTGTGAGAGGTGATTAGTGAGTGGTGAGGGTGAGTGGTGAGGGTTAGTGGTGAGCATGAGTGGTGAGGGTGAGTGTTGAGCGTGAGTGGCAAGTGGTGAGGGTGAGTGGTGATTGGTGAGGGTGTGATTGGTGAGGATGAGTGGTGAGTGGTCAGGGTGAGTGGTGAGGGTGAGTGGTGAGGGTGAGTGGTGAGAGGTGAGGGTGAGTGTTGAGGGTGAGTGGTGAGCGTGACTGGTGAGGGAGAGTGGTGAGGGTGAATGGTGAGGGTGAGTGGTGAGGGTGAGTGGCAAGTGGTGAGGGTGAGTGGTGATTGGTGAGGGTGTGATTGGTGAGGATTAGTGGTGAGTGGTGAGGGTGAGTAGTGAGGGTGAGTGCTGAGCGGTGAGGGTGAGTGGTTGTTGTTAGGGTGAGTGGTGAGAGTGAGTGGTGAGGGTGAGTGGTGATTGTTGAGGGTGTGATTGGTGAGGATGAGTGGTGAGTAGTGAGGGTGAGTGGTGACGGTGAGTGGTGAGGGTGAGTGTTGAGGGTGAGTGGTGAGGGTGAGTGGCGGTTATGAGTGGTGATTAGTGAGGGGTGAGTGGTGAGGGTGAGCATGAGTGGTGAGGGTGAGCAGTGCGGGTGAGTGGTGATTGGTGAGGGTGTGATTGGTGAGGGTGTGATTGGTGAGGATGAGTGGTGAGT